GCATGGCAGATATGTGCTGTACTCTACCACTGACTACCCCTCAACTCCCTTAACATTTAGAAAATGTTAAATGTGATGGAAATGCCAATCACTTTAATTCAAGTATTATGTATATTTTGAATTAACATACTGTGCTCTAAAATATGTATGTAAAATATGTATGAAGAAATAAAAATGAAGGTAAAATGCTATAAATTTAATATATTACAGAAAACATTGTGAAATCAGTCATAGCTCCACTCAACCAGCTTAACTGTATCCTACAAGTTGAAGACAGAGATAGAAACAGGATGCTAACATCAGGAAATTAAAGATATTTTCAAGTCTCGTCACATTCTTTGTGGGTTTGCATTAAAGTTGAGCAGGAATGGAAACTGAAAGGTTACTGTCTCCACTTTGGGTGAGAAGAGGACTTCTGTCACAGTAACCTAAGCTCCCCAATGTTCTTTTGTTGGTGCTGTAAGCGTTGCGGGATGGGTCAGGACAGGATGGAACAGGAGTGGGTCAGGTATTCTGGCACTCCGGAGTCACAGAATACTCAGTGTTACACAGCTCAGGTGGAAAGGTATTCTGGAGCTCGGGAGCCAAGGACCACCACAGGTTGCAGTAAGCTTGGCAGCTTACAGCCTTGCCTCAGAGAAAGGCTTCTCCGGTGTGTATTAGCTCCGCTCCGGCAGGACAGGGTTTTCCAACTGGGGATGTTCGCCTAGTGTAGCAGTTTTGCTAGGCAGGTTTCTCAGGCGAAGTTGCTACAGTTCAGCTCTGCTCCTGGAGAGCGGAGAGCAGGGAGCCAGGAGCAGAGTGTAACAACTCTGCTCTGCCAAGGAAGGTTTCCCGGGCAAGTGTTACAGCGCTGCTCACTCTGCTCTGCTCTGCCCAGGGTCGCCGCCAAAAAGATCTTCACCCGAAGCTCATCCAAAGGGGTTTATTGGAAGGCAGCTGGACCAGCCAAGCTGAACATACACAGGGTTTATATAGGGATTCTTGGGGGTGGGGAAGTTTTTCCAGGGTAGGGATTGGTCCGATTTAAGTGCTGAGCTCAGATTGGCTAGAGCTCTGCTCTGGGATTGGTTACTTTTTTACACAGGATTAGGGTCAGATTTGGCTCTGGTTTCAGGGCCAAAGTGTGTTTCTTTCTCTGGTCCTTCTTAGCCTTTTGGCTCCAATTTTAGGGCCAGGGTACATTTCTTTCACTGACTCTGATTCCAGGGACAAAGTGTGTTCCTTTGGCACTGGTTTTAGGGTCAGGGTACATTTCTTTGGTTGTGGTTGCAGGGCCAAAGTGTGTTTCTTTGGCTCTGCTCAGGGTATGTTTCTTTGACTGGTCCCTTTTCCCTACAGGTGCCTTAGCCTTAATGTGTCCCTGTTAAGTTCTGAGACCTCGCTGTAGAACTGAATGCATCTCTATCTCTTGATTTAAAAAAAAGTGTCTTGACTGTTTAATAAAAAGAAATTGGTAGACAAGAGACATTGTGTGCCACATTAATTTGAGAGCAAATGAAACATGCTACCAAGAGGCCTCCATCAATTATAGCCAAGAAAACAAGCTTGTACACTCAATTTCTTCTATTGACTGTACTGACACAGCTCTCATAGGCCCAAGAACTAACCAACACTAGGCAGAGTTTTCCTTTCCTTGCTGCTGAAGGAAAATAAAAATTTAATTGCAGCCTTACCTGAAAATCCAAAACCAAGTCAGATAAAAGCATTGAACGTTACTTGCTTTAAGATGTTATTTGTCGCCGGGCATTGGTGACACATACCTTTAATCCCAGCACTTGGGAGGCAGAGGCAGGCAGATCTCTGTGAGTTCGAGGCCAGCCTGGTCTACAAGAGCTAGTTCCAGGATAGCCTCCAAAGCCACGGAGAAACCCTGTCTCGAAAAAACAAAAACAAAAACAAAAAAGACGGTATTTGTCTAGCTATTTATATTTCAACCCATTTTGTTTATGCCAATATTCTCTTACTTAATGTAAAAGCAAAAGGTGTGTAACTACTTAAATCCAGACTTTCTGTTGTTTAGTATGCTAGCAAATAAATTCACAAATAACTCCCCCCCAAAAGAAATACAAAAACAAAACAAAGAGAAGAAATCCTTAACAAGTTCATATGTCTCCAATCTAACTTAAGCAGGGCAAATTGATTCATAAGATGGAGGGAGGAGCATGTACTGGCTCCTCATAACCCTCTATCCTCATCAGTGGAAACTTAGACCATTACAGCAAGAAAGAGCTCTAGAGATGATGCAGAGTATAAAATGAAGGCAGGAGGCCAAAGCCCAAAGCTCTGAGGTGACTTCTGTAGTAGCAGCACCAGTGGTTTGGGGCTGAGTGTAGTCTTTTGCTTGGCAGACTGAGATTTTGTTCTCTGATACTCTACCGTGTGGTGAGTCACAATCTTTCTAAAAGTCATGGATTTTCTTGGTGTCGGCTTTTAAAGTGGAGGTTACTGTGGCACTACACATTCCTCTGTGAAGATTCTTTCTTTGCAGTTTTTCTATGTGCACCTCATTTCTGCACTGCGGCTTCTCTGTGGCACAGACTCTGTCTCTGATTAATTCTGTCTTAGAGGTCACTCTGTGTGTTAGTATCGAGTGGATCACTCCTCTGTCTCCAGTTCTATGTGGATACCTTCTGTTCCTCAACCCCCTGTTCTACATTATTGTCTAGTAGTGTGAGTTCAAGGTCCCTAGTAGTATGAGTTCAAGGTCCAGAACTCTGCGTAAGACTTCTTGTGTTCAAATCCTGTTTTCCTGGTTGTGGATTTTTGGCTACCACTCTTAACAGCTCTGTGCCTCATCTCTGAAACAGGGATTCTAACAAGCTTTGCCTCAGTTATTGTTTTATATGGGTGCAATGACCCAAGATGTGCATATGTTGTAGCCATCTCAGAGCAAGCTTAGGAAACACCCCCAACACTAGCACTTGTTTTTAGTAAGACACTTCTCACAGAAATGAACTGTAAGCCACTTTCCCCTTGTTGTATGATAAGAGTTGCACACACATCTATTTAATCCAAACAGGGAACCCATGACTGGTCAAAGTATGCATACCACCAAAGTCTAACTTGGTGAACCAAGAGTTTAAGGTTTCTTACAAGACTATGGGTTGGTGTTTCAGCAAAGGTACATGAAGTTACATGAACAGTAGTTAATCACAAGGAATTCTAGGGCAGGAAAGTCAACCTCAAGAAGGACAACCCCTGGAAAGCAGACTGATAGCTAGACATGGAAGTGGAGGGTATTGTTTGGAGAATAGAGCTGCAAACACAGGTCTGTGAGCCTTTACTTGGGTAACACTTTTTTTTTCTTTCTGTAAACCATTGTATTTATGGCAAGGGAGGAGAATGGAAAATCAGATCCCAAGATATCTAACATTGTCTCCACGAATTTCTTTAGTCCAGCACTCTTCAATAGGGTTAATTGCTAATGGTGTTATTAATAATTATTGCAGAATAAAGAATCTGTTTGAATTCCTTTTTTTGAAATAGTTCCTTTCAAAAACTAATAGCATGACTGTTAATAGTGAAACCCTGAGAAGATAATAGACTCTAAACTGCTAAAAGAGCCCTGCTATAAAAGAATACATTTATAAAGACAAATAGTGCCAGACAGTCTTGATAGCTTTTTCAATAGAATTAAAAACGTACTGAGAACAACGAATGTACCTTAGCACACATGTATTTATATTTTTGCAATCCATTTGATACAGTATCTCAATAAATCTTATTTGCCAACCTAATTAGCATTGGCTTTGCTGTGTGCTCTTGTCACATGGACTGAGAACTGGCTGGAGGACAAATCCTAATGACTCTAAGCAATGTGTCGACTGTAGGGTCAGCGTGAGGTCTGGTTTTGTTTAATGTCTATAGTAATGATCTGGAGGGAAGAGTAAATAATTCCTGAATGAAATAATATTATAATGATGGGCACATGGGCTCCCTGGCAATCGAAATGAAGTCAGAGTGTGTAAGTACCTGTCCTGGCTTGACAGTAATTTAAAGGAAGTGGGTCACTTGATCTTTCTGGATCTGTTTACCTGTGTGGAAAACGGAGATAATGGCACTCTTGTGAGAAAGCCAAGATAAGATCTTATGATTTCAAACACATAGTAAGACAGGCTCCCTCCGATAGCATTTGGTGCTTATCGTCTGCCTACATACTTGTGAGGAGTCACTTTGATACAGCAGGAGGTAGGCTAGGGCCAGAGGAAGAAAAGAACAAAACAACACTGTTGAGGGACAACACCCATGGAGAACAACGAACGAAACACCACAAGAAAGGCCTTGCAGCTAAGCAAAGGAGGCTAGGAAGCCTCTGACTTTCTGGATGTGAGGGAATGATGAAGAGGGCCAGGCTTGATGGAGAGGGCGAGGCTGGCTGTGTGTCGGGCTATGGTGGAGAGGGAGGACCAGCAGAGAACTCCAGGGAGGATTTTCATCCCTCACTCCTTGTTTCCTTCTGACCTGTGGGGACTGTGCCTGAGCTTATGCAATGAAACTCTTTTAAATCAGGGATTTAAGATGTTTAAATGCAGTAACGGGCTATTTCTGGTAAAAATTTTAAAATGGTGATCTTTAGAAGACACTCCTCTGCTAAGACTGTGCTGTTAGGAACAGATTTCTCAACTTACAAAAGGCAATTAGCTGGTTTGAGTGGGCTTATTTGCATAAACAAAGCCAAAAATAATTTGTTTCTTTGTAAGTGTCCAGTTTCAGATATTTGATTTTAGTCATGGATCAACAGCCGTGTAGTAAATTAATCTAAAACGCAGTGTTAGAATTAACGTCGTTTGTTTGTTCTTCTTTCTTTTATAAAGTGGATACTATAACTAGAAATCAAGTAATGATTTTAGGAACCTGTAGAAAGAAGAGAAGGCATTCTATTATATTATTTAAAATGATTTCTCGTGCTTTACTAACATTACATCATGCATAATAATGGGTTTACGATAAGGTTTCATGCATGTACACAACACATTCCAGTCCCCTTCTCTTCCCAGCTAGCCTCCCTGCAGAAAGATGACAAGACCTCTGACGGAAGACGACGAGATGACTCTACATTTACTCTATCGCCACAGAACGATCTGTAGGATCTGACTTCCTGGTTTTCCATGGAGAGAGTAGCTTGTACAAACATAAAGTAAAAAAAAATACTTCCAGCGTCCTGTGGTGCTTGATTTGCCCACCTTCCAGGACACCTTCCGTTTGCCTAGTGCTCTGATGTTTAATTCAAGTTCCGTCTCTATCTGGGATGAATGTGATGTTCGTCTATCTTTGCCTCTCCCATAGTCTCAGCAGTGCCTTGAATGTAACAAATTCTTATGAATATTTATCAAGTGGATGAATCACGGAATAGATAACAATCCAGACTCGGCTTGAATACCTTCAGTGACAAGAGGGACAGCTTTACGAAGCAACCCATTTCACTGTCGGGAGGGTGTTGACGGTTCAAAATGTTTTAAAAATGTATTCAAGACGAGTTTTTGATTTTTCTGTGACTCATCTTCTCCCATTTGTCTAAATAGGAGCAAAAGAGAAATACATTTATTTTTCCTCCCACAGAGAATCCTTTACTTCCTTGCTGACAGGTATTATCACTCACAATCATTCCTTCATGATTCTCAATCTTCTCCGTTGTTTTTCTTTGGCACAACTTAAAATTTTTTTTAACTCATTCTCCATATGATTTTCTTCAGAGGTTTTTGTCAGTCTCACTGAAGCAACTGAAGTTAGCAGGGTAGGTGGAGGAGCGTGGAGCTCTCGGATGGTGTCAAACTTCGTGAGCAGGAATATTAAAGAAACAGGCGCTGTCTTTCTACAGTTCAGACAACACATTTCATAGAATATAAATCCCTTCAGCGAGCTAGTTTTCCATCCGGCTTTGTGAACCGCTAAGTGTGCTGTGCGATCACCAGGAAGCAAAATGTGTGAAGTACTGCTCAGAGAAAGGTAAACTACGGTGTCTGGAGACTCAAGTCTCCCCACACAAGGCCCTCACTTCTGACAGCTAACTGCAGGTTTGAGGAGCTCCCTGCACCGTGCTCAGGTTTCAGTCATCCCAAGGACGCACAACACTCAGTAACATTATGCCCGTGTATATTTTTTTATTACAGGCAAAAGATAGGTATTAAAATAAACCAGAGGAAGATACACAGGAACATGGTGACAGCCTGAGAATATTGCAAAGAGGAAGCTTCTGTTATCTCCTTTCTTTGGAGTCTCAACAACCTTCCCTTCTGAAATGGCTGCATTGTGATATGAATGGGATGCAGAAAACCATGATGGTTCTGTTGGCTTTTGATTTTTTTATGGGGAGGGGCTTCATGAGGTATGTTCGGATTACTTATTACCTACAAAACTTAACAGTATTCATGTTGAGTAATAAGTGAGTGAGTTGATCCGTCATGCCCTGCTCAATCATATTCTTATTGTTCTTAGATTTGGTCTTTTAGTAGTGTCACAGATTTCCTGGATGTTTGTGTTGGAATTCTTTTAGACAACATTTTATGTGAGTAAGGTATCCTTTCTTCTATTTTATCTTCAATGCCTGAGATTCTCTCTTCCATCTCTTATACTCTATTTGTGAGACTTACCCCTGGGGTTTGTAATTCCTAAATTTTTCATTTCCAGTTTTACTTCAGTTTGGGCTTTCTTTAGTTATTCTATTTCTACTTTAGTGTCTTGAGCTGTTTTCATCGTATCATTCCACTGTTTATGTTTTCACAGACTTCATTCATGGGGGCTGGAGGGGTCCACAGAAAGGAGGAACGCTGGGTCTGCCATGAGGTTTGGCAGCGTCTACAGGTAGAGGAGTAAAAGAGGGAGGGCAGGCTCCCCAAGATGTCTGCTACAGGGCTGGGGATAAGACTGTACTTGGAAATGGATCCATGAAAACTTATTTTTATTATGCAGAGTAGTGTAGTTTTTGGAAGAACCCCTGCTTAAATGCTGGGTGAATGGTTATTTTGCATGAATTCTTTTTTCTTCTCACAACATAATATTTTTATTAATTATGTGAGAATTTTGTGCAATGCATTCTGATCACACTCGCTTCCCATTCCTCCCAAGTCCACCCTCCCACCTTTGACTCCCACCCAGAAAACCCCCCAAACCCCATCAAGTCCAGTCTTACAAATGAAAGTGTTCCAATGCAGCACCACATATATTAGATACTGATAATTTGCTACCTATCACTGTATAAAGTAGTTATCATGAATTACATTTGATTTTGATTTCAAACATACTCTCTAAAGATTTAGTGAAAGGAAAAAGCTTGGAAAAATTACTGAATAAACTATTTTACAAATTCACATCAATGATGGTGTGAAAGCAAAGCCAAATGTGGTGTTTGTCTGCAATACTCTCAGGAGGGAGTATTGGTATCGAGGGAGGAAGACTAGAAAGAAGTTCAAGGTCAGCCCAGCTTGTATATAGCAAGTTGGAGGCCCACCTAGGCTATAAAGTAAGATCTTGTCTTGAAACACAAACAGGGCAGGTGAGATGGGTCAATAAATAGAGTTGCTGATAAGCCTGATGACCTGAGTTCATCCCCGGAACCCAAAATGCTGGGAGGAGGGTACTGACTCTTCTAAGTTGTCCTCTGACCTCCATACATGTATTGTGGCATATAGACTGTCTCCCCACCGCCCCACACATGCACATACATGCAAGTGCATGTACGCGCATGCACGCGCACACACACACACACACACACACACACACACACACACACATCCTAGATGTAAGAAATGAAGATCTTTCTTTCTACTAGTTCCTAGCACTTGCAAGGGCGCCACAAGGGCTTTATGTTATCAGTACAAGTCCCTCTCCTCACTGGACACCTGATTTACATGTAACCCAAACTATGATTCCCTTTACTTTTTGAAAAACAAGCAAGCAAAAAGCCACAAAACGAACAAAAAACAAGACCAGGCTTCTTCAGTGACAGGTAGGTGCATGACAGTGAGCGTTTGGCTAGAGATGGCTATGTGAAAGATGGATCCTTATGTGAAGAAGGGATCTACATGTCTGTTGTGTGTCGGAGACTCAGAACCCTGTTTAAGACCCAGAAGTCGGCACATCCCTGGTTTGTATTTCAGCTTCCATAGAAAATAGGACCCCAAGGGATGCTTGGTTGACAAAATTGAGATTTCCACCCGCACTCCCGTCTTATTTCTTCTCCCCTTTTCATTAAAATGACATAATTCTCTCCTTTCCCTCTGATTTAAACCAATGAACAAATCTATAACATTATTTTATAGAGATACTTGTGAAGTTTTTCTTAAACTGTCATGACACCAAATTTGTTATCTTGATCTTGAATGCATTTAATCCAATGCCTAGGGAGAACAAGTCTAGTTGTACAACATTAATGAAAGAAGTTTCAAAACTATCTTTAACCTAGTGCATTTAGCTTTATTTATCACAATGCTTTATTTATCACACTAACTTCATAATTTATGACTCCTGCTGTAAAAACAGAAAGATGACATGATTATTGAAAGACATAAGAGCCTGGTGTCATGGGTGTGTGCATGTAATCTTAGCACTGGGATGTAGAGGCAAGAGGGGCATAGTTTGAGGCTAGGATGGACCTAACAGTGAGATGCTCTTCCATACCCTGAAAGATGAATGTTGGTAGGCTTTTACAAAGTAGGATTTTAATGATTTTTATAGTAGCATATGTTCATACATTGTATTGTGATCATATCCATCAACATTGCTTTCCTCCCACTCCCCCTTAATGCCCCCCTACTCTGCCTCTTTCTAACTGAATGCCCTTCTTTTCTGTTATTAATAACCTCCTGAATCTAATTAGTGCTGGTGTAGTATGGTGGATGGGGATGGGGCCATCCACTAGGGCATGGTCCATCTGATGGCAGGCTTTTATCTTAAGAATAACTTAAAGACTTTGTTTTGGTTTTTCAAGACAGGGGTTCACTGTGTAACAGCTTTGTCTGTCCTGAGACTGACTGTGTAGATCAGGCTGGCCTTGAAGTCACTGAGATCCACATGCCTCTGCTTTCCGAGTGCTGGGATTAAAGGTGTGCACCACCACTGCCTGGAATAACTTTTCTAAGTTGCAATAATTGATAGAATTCATTAACACCATACATTCCAATCTTTCAATATAGATTACATATATTTTGATGATGGGATTGTCAAACGAGCTACCGTATGTATTCCTGACTTTAAGGGTTGTGATGAGAGATTTGATGTTATTCCAATATGTTTGCATCTACGAGTAAGCTGACATTTACCCTTACAGCTTTTAGTATGGCCTCTTTGCTTTGAATTTTTGACATCTTGACTATGATATATCATGGAGAAGCTTTTCTCTAGTTTGTCTATATGGGATTCTAAATGTCTGTTGTATTTAAAGCATTTGTTTATCTTTATGTGGAGATTTTTCTTATGTAGCATTGCTCTATGCTTTTAGTTTTTTCCCTCAGATTCTTCTATCACATAGATTCTTAGGTTTTGTTGTTGGATTGCACCCAAGAATTCTTGAAATTGTCGTTAGTTTCTTTTTACCCTTTTATTTATTTCTGTTTGAATGTAGTATTTCATTTACCTTGTCTTCCATTGCTTATATCTTTTCTTCTACTGTTCCACTCCACTGAATATGCCTTTCATTTTGCTTTTGTTTGATTCAATGAGTTTTCATTTCCCACATTTCTATTTTTTCCTCCAAATCCCAGTTTCTTTGTTGACTTTCTCATCAATATTGATGACTTTCCTCTCTGCTTTACTGACTTTTCTTTCTAGATCCTCGGCTAAATTCATCTACTTGTTCATATCCTCTTGGAGGTCACTGATTTTTATTTTTGCTAGCAAACCTTCATGCAGCATTTTACCTCTGTCAGTATCTTGGAGCACAGTAGTTGAGCTGTTCTGATAATTTGGAGGAGTCATATTGCTTTTGTGTCTTTTCAAGTCTCTTGTGGTTTTTTTGTTTGTTTGTTTGTATAGGTATTGTTTTAGGTATCTTAGCATTTGCAAGGCAGAGGCAACAGAATTCTGTGAGTTCCAAGCTAGCCAGGTCCTCATAAAGAGACCCTATCTCAAAAACAAATAAGCAAAACAGATTTTCCTATTCAGCAGTCTTGTCTTGAGGGATCCATACCCATTTCAACTCTTTTTTCCTCTCCTTCTACAA